CACAGCAAAGGTGCCGCATTTCTGAAACCGGCAGCAAGAGCATTTGTTAAAGCTGTCAGTCATCTGTGCCAGTGGCATGAAGAAATTCACTGAGACCAGGCTTTTCGGCGTATAAGGCAATGAATAAATGACAGGTATGTGGACTCATCTCTGGTCATGCAGATCATTACTGGGCCTAAAAAGGAGGGGTGGTTGTTGGCTCCCTTCACTCGAAGAACTGTGTTCTTAAAACTTGTTACAAGCACATAGAAAGGACCGAGTTGAAATGTCACGTCCACTCCGAGCTCAGAGACTTGATTTACCCTTTCATGACAGCAAAATTTCACGATTTTGTCCAACTGTTGGTCAGTGAATAGCATGACTGTAGGGAGATCGTTGCATACTACTTCACGGATGAAACCAGGAAAAGTTGTCTTCTGCAGTTCTAGAACAGATGCCAGTGGGTCTTTTTTAACTGATGGTTTACGAGTTAGGTATTCTACCTGCTTCAAGTTACGTGGGATAGAACTGATACTGTCTACTTCACAGATACCACCGGCTTCCTTTCTTGCGAAGTACAGTGCCCTCTTAGGACCAAATTCCCTGGCTTTTTCGGCAACTTTTTCGCTTGGTGCTCTCTTTCGATCGAATATGTGGCATATTCGAGGAGGTGCGATTACCATGCTTTTTGTACTGTAAATTTTGATGGCTTTCCATCAAAATTGTAATTAAGAAGCACAAGTGGAAACCATTTTTCAATGTCCTTGCCAAATTCGATTGACACTATGGTCTTGTGATAGGATGTGTAGGAGGAACATGTGTATGTTCTTCTCTTCACCACAACATCTGAACTTGTCTGAGTGTTGACCTTTTCGAGTTCAGTCACTTTCCCTCCTCATCTCTTATGATGGTATAAAACTTGGCCTTACAGCCTGTCATTGCCCATGAACCATTCTCATCTGAGTACAAATCTTTCCTGTGTTGCAGTGCATCAATGTCCAAGACAAATGTTCCATTGTCCTGATATCCAATGGGAACAGCTTTGCTTATCATGGCGGGATTATCTTCTTGGCAATTCATAATAAGTGGGACGACATAGGGATTATCGAGGCTCTCAATAGTTACCACCTTGCACTCAGAATTACCATTGTAAAGTTTGTAGTTCCTTCCGTTCAGTTTCTGGGGTGATTTAGACACATCAAAACGCTCTTCCTCACCATCAGATTCAAGGTTCTATAAACAAAAATCGTGTAAACATTAGATAAAAATTACATCTGCTATTTTTAATTGTGACATAAGCAATCATGTCAGAAGGTGATGATGTCATAGACTCCACCAACTTTTATAATCAGATATAAAAACAAAAGGGTATCCCAGCTGATTTGTTTAGACAGATTTGATTTTTTTTTCAGCAAGACCCCAGGGGGGGAGGAGCGATACTCGCAATATACATGATTAAGAGGTCCAACATATTTTTTGGCAGGTATTTTGTTGGGTGCAAAATTTCCTCCCATCAAGTATACTGCAAGTACCTCCCCACAAAAGTTGCAAATGTGTTAATAGTAACTTTTCCATTAAATATCCACCTTCCCCACAGAAGGGATTCTTTATAAGAATTCCCCAACCCCTCACCCCTGGAATTTCCAGTTCAACCCATACATTCAGACCCCCAAGAATTTACAATCCCTTTTGTGTGGGGGATATCGCTGGAAATACACATTTAAAGTTTCACCAAGGGTAAAGCAGATGATTGGTCTGTCAGCATTTATTATTATATCCTCACTGAGTTCAGACAGATCAAGTACCTCTTGAAGACTCCACCATGCTTTGTAAACAAACAAAAGGAACAGGGGGAGTGGGGATTCTGTGAGATATTATATATACTCTGACTAATTACCTCCGTCTCACTCGCATTGCTGCCTATATATATGGGATGTTCATCACTGCTGCCAGAATCATCACAATCTTTGCTTGTAATAGTCAACTCCTGATGTTCCTTTAAGTCACAAATCATTTTATAAGTCAATCAATCAAGCACATTTACACCCAGCCTAATGTCCTGATACATGATTTATTACAGTCTTTCATTTCTTTAAATTTCATAAAGATAATTAATCATTTCAGTAAACTAAATGAAGGAAAATACAACAAGAACTGAAAGCTAGAAATATATATAATACAATATAAGCTTATTCAGCTGACTACCTTTGTATTTTAATTTGTTAAAAAAAAATGCTATGTACAATGAATAATTCTCCCGCGTTCCAACAAACAATTCTCATGTAATCACAATTAAAATCAAACATTAAAAATCCGAAAGTAGGTAATTCGCTGCTCTATTTTACTGATTTTAAAATCGGATATTTGTGGCTAACCAGTGCATCGTTTAAAATCAACTCACCTCATCACTTGATATTTCAAAAACATCCGCCTTTCTCCTAAAAGGAATAAATATATGTTTGCAATCGGTTCTAGGTGTAAATAAATGCAGATGGCCCCAAAAACAAAAGGATAAAGGTGATTAATATTCAAGAATCTTACCGTGCAGCCATGGCGCAGGAGAGAAGTCGCGTGGTTTTCGTGAAGCCTGGGTCGAGTTCGTGATTGCGAACGTGGGAGACTAGGCCGAGCAAAATGGCGGAGGCACAAATGACACAAACAACACGAACGAAGTTCGACCGATCCTCGCAATATTTACAAAATATTACAGATCTGTATTAATTCTGCGGAAGTCTAAGTCAGCGTTCGAATTTTCGCCGACACGACATGCACACGGTCAGTTTAATATGTTTAAAAGTCAAATGTTTATTTTTATTTTTTAATGCGTTTTAAAGGGGGTCCGTAGAGGGGGTCCGTAGAGGGGGTCCGCTGACCGGTCCGCAAGGTAGTCCATGGACCCGGTCCGTAGGGGGGCCCATGGACCCGGGGTCAGTGTTTTCGGGTCACCCTGGAGTCCAAGTAAGTTAAAAAGCATCAACGAATGAACTCGTGTAGTTATTGAACTATATTGTCATTCTTGAACTTTGGTGTCTTTACTGAACTACACAAAAAGGAAAACCGAAAAAATGTAACATAAAAAAGTCTCTTTTTATATTGTAAAAGTGTGAGAAGGGTGATGATATTCATCGCATGAAAATCCTGCAATTTTTTATATCCTTAGAAATTTTTTTCCCCTCATTTTTAGATGCGGTCGCCCGAGGAAACACATTTTCAATATTACACCATTGAAACGCTTACTAGTGTCCGTTTTCTTGGCTTTTTCTAGTAAACTCTGTAAAGCGATTAAGGCAAAGCTACATACCCATCCTTTCTACGGCTCCTCCTCTTGGATTCTCTGCATAAAGCCCTAAAAATGTTGATGTTGATCAAAAACTTTAGCTTACGGCACTTTACCCTAGTGATAGATTCTGTTTGACTATTTACTGGATAAAAACCATGTTCTCCTTTGTTTGTGGGGAGAAGAAGCAAAGAGAAAGGCTGTGAACTTATCTCCATCATGAGCAATGAATGTTTGGCAAAATGATCGTAATTTATAGTGAACAGTTGCAATATTATAAGCTATAATATCCTTGGTTATCGCGCGACGATTAGATTCAATACGCTTTATTAACATTTTGATACGTTTGACTCAAACAGGAAATCCTTTCAAAAGCCTTGAAGATTATAGCCCATATTCTGTAAAAAAAAAACCACTTGCTTCTTACTTTTGTTTAGTTTTAATAAATTGTTTACACAATTTAATAGTCTAGTATGAACATTATGACGCTATGTTTCGTGACCTGTCCACGCCACTTTCGCAATTTTTGTAAACATCCCTGAGGTTTGCGACTTTTATCCCACTGATCATTTTTGCTAACTTATTAGATGACTCACTTCTATCACTAATTGATAGACCTATACCATATTAACGTCATTTGTTTTTCTCGAGACTAAATTCTGCTGGGCTATTTAGTTATGCGTCTCTAAAGACGCCCCTGTATGAGTTGTACCATCTGGTCGATCTCGGGAAGTTCTTGATTTTTTACAATGGAAATGCTCTTTCCTAGGATAAATTGCAATTTTACTATATAGCATTAATAGATAAACACATACCTTCGGTCGTTTCATCGCAACGTCTCGACTTTTACCTCTTGAAACCACGAAACAATTTCGTTCGATGAAACCATTTAATGTTCCCGAAATAAATTTCTCGTGACGTCACGATGGCCAAGATCATCCGCCGCGCGATCCCTATAGGAGCGATTGACGAGTTCATCACCCCCCCGCCCCCCCCACTGGCCTTTGCCCTGGTCAACACAAAGAAAAGCCCGCCTTGAGCCTGCGATAAAGGATGCGCAGAAGCTTGCGCAGAACGTTTTTCCGCCCTGAACTCGGAATAGCCTGTTTCAGACTCCAACATGTCCTCTTCCCCAGGTCACGCGCTTCCTTTTTCGCGACCTCCCTACTATCTGACAGCCTGCGGCAGGCTAATGCACCGGGAACAGTGTGAAAAAAGAGCGTGACCTCCATGCCTTTCGCTTGATTTGCACTTCACATTTTCTCAGCGTCCGTCCGCAAACCATGAATTTGGCACAAATCAACGATGTTTTTTGAGTGTACACTACTAAGGCAAACAGCAAAGGCGGGAGTTTTTCACATAGAGGCAAACTTTGGAGCTTTTGGTTTGGGCTAGGAACCTTTTAATCCAGTCTGAACTTTGTATTTTAAGACTATACAGCATACATGAAAATGACAAATGTGGAGTCACAAAGGGGGAAATTATACCCTATCAGTCTCTCTTAAATGAGGGCAGGAATAAATTATGAACATTACAAATGTTTCTTAGTATTGTGGATGGTGTGATCACCAAATGACGTAATACAAAGGACACGGAACAATACCCAGACCAAAACACAAAACTACATCAACAATAGTTTCCGCCACACCAGGGAAACACCCCGATCTAGTCATGATTGGCGCAAGATCGAAGACATATATACATATTACTTAACGTTTTTTCCCTCCACTTAAATCAGTTGAAAGCCCATTTAAAAGGAGAAAAGGCAAAACAAAACACTTGTTCAAAGGAGGTTTTCATCCCTTTCCACGAGTTTATTATTTTTATTAGTTTCCTATCTTCATCGTACCCACATGGTACAAACAGGGCAGCAAAGCGTCAGAGTTAAAAAAGAGGACTTACTTCATAATTTAAAATTCACCTGCTATATAGCATCAAACACGTGATGAAATAATTGAACTTATACTACTACATGAGGAATTGCTGCAATTTGACTGGCTTAGAGCAGTGGTATTTCAGCTTAATTTGAAATACCTACATGTGGAAATTACAAACCTTTTGCGGGTAGTAGTGTACACAAATAATAGCATGATTTGTACGTGATATTTGGCATAAATACCACTAGTGATATTTCAAAATTGTCTCAAATTCAACTCGCCTAACGGCTCGTGAAATTACGCATAATAATTTTGAAATATCACTTGTGGTATTTATGCCAAATATCACTACAAATCATGCTATTACCTATACTAATTTGAAATTACAAAATTGCCATCGCAAACTTTCGTACGTCTCAGTACCAAGATAGCGACGAAAACTTAAAATGTAATGAAGATGAGACGCTTTAGAAAACCTATACACACGAAAAAGCACACCAAGAAGGATTCTAACAGGTATTTTGTCGAAAAATTCTTAACCTAAGCCAAATTTAAGTTCTAAACTTTTGAGAGAGTGGAGCTTTCGAACGATACGATCCAGGATAAACATCTCAAAAATCCACGACTGCGAACTTAATTCGTCACCCATGATATTAATAGTTAATCAAATGGTATACTCGCGAAATTAGGAAATTATTTCACTTGCGTTTTGTCCAACTCCTAATAATTTCCCTAGCCTGATTTGGACAAAACGCGCGCGAAATTACTCCCTAATCTCACTCATCATGATTTGATTACATTTACATATAATTAATTTGATTTTGTAGCCACCTTTAAAATAAAATGTATGGTAAATGAACAGCTCTTGGAATTATTTACAACTTGATACCTAAAAAGATGTCATTGAAAGTTCTTTTTGTTTTATAAATAGTCTATAGTTATTTACCGAAGAGGTCGTTCCTCCTTTTTCTATATTACACTTTACACATCAGTTCACCTAACCTGGAGTACGCAACCGCGACACAACCGAAAAAAAAAAACGCAGGCGTCATCACGTGGCCACCCAACCGCTCTCTTTGAGGAAGTTCATAATGTGTTTTCTGTGTGTCTTGTCGAGATTTGGTGGGTATCGAGTTTTAACCTGTACGCCTTGCCGTCGTAACAGATTGTCCTGCAAGAAAGAAAAACGCATCGTGCCGCTCAAATGTGGCCACAAGTTTCAGTGAAGTACTTTGCAATACAATCGGAGGATCATTGCCGGTAAAAGGTATCAATCTTTAAAAAGTAAATGACAAAGCTCTAAATGGTTGAGAGCTCACAGACTCTTATCGGAAACTAAACGCGTGTCCTCTAATCTCGAATCCCCTATAATACAATCTGTTCGTTACCCCCTCCGACCCCGCCCTGCCCCGCGACTATTGTTTTCAGTTGCTCCTGGGAGGAGAACATATTCTAAAGCGCAATTTAAACAATAATTATCATACGCAAATTTGCGGGGGGTGGGGGGGGGCGCAAACGCTGTATTATGGAGTGAAAACGCAACATATTCTCGCTACCGTGGGAACCTATACTTTTTGCAAAGAGAAACATATAGGTAACGCGAGAAAGAAGCTCCTTCGGAACTGAACTTTTTCAAAACGGTTCAAACTCTTAACAATCACGTCCAGTTGTTACACCGCTCCCCCTTCAATAACTGGAAGGAGGTTGTTCCGCTGTTGAATCATGTGTGTAAATAAGGCAGGCCAATAAATGCTTACAGCGAGAAATTCCTAACATAACAATTTTTAACCTACCTTAAGTATGATGGTTTTTATTGTGAGGTAAAATCCGGGCTTCATCTGCAGTGAGGAACACAGCTGTTGAGCAAAGAAAGAAAAGTTCAAACTTGACCCATTCGAAATCATCAAGGGAAATAGACCAAACGTTTCAAGCTCTGAAACAGATTTTTTCGTCCTGTGCACGAGGGAAAGGTTTGCGTAGATTCAGGTCGAAACTCTGAATTACAGCAAAAGCAATGAAGATCTGATGATAATCGACGCACATTTCATCTTCTGAACTCAACTAGCCTGTGTGCAGACGTCTCCTATTTCCTTTTTTGCATGCGGAAAGGAGACGTTTGCGTAACGCCGTAGCCAATCGTTTTCCGGTCTCGTTCCCAGGGTATTCAATTTTGAATAAATTATGAAACAATAACCACTTCCGCATGTAACAAGGTAATCAGGAAACGCCTACACGCAGGCAACAACTTGACGTAAAGTACTGGTGAAGTACTGAGAGCAATATCTACTGCAACCGTTAACAACTCCCGTCGTTTGAGCAAATGAAAGTACATAGTCGGAAAACATAGCGTTTGACAACAACAACAATAGAATGGTCTAACAGCTGTTTAAAGTTTTTAGAGTAAACTGACCTGTCTCTCGACCGGTGATAGTAGCTTGTAGGTGGCACAATTTTTTATTTGGTCTGCAAACGTCGGTGAGGACAGCGAACAGTCTGCAAAGATGTCACAGTACCTGCTCAGTTAGTCGGTATTTTACGAAGCACAAGAGGCATAAACAGGGCCGGTAGGGTGGGATTAATAGCATCAGTAGCTTTTAGAGCGCTTTTCAATTGAGTGTCGAAAACCAAAACCAAAGTAATCACAACGGCCAATCAGAGTAAAGGAAATTATCAGAGGGAGCCAATGGCAACTTGAAGTAAACGCGTGTAACCGGCCTGTAGCGCGGGAAAACGCGAGTGACCAAGGAGCGATTGGTTTTAGTTTACATCTGACTGGCTGAGAGGGTGGCGCGAGTTTTCTAGACCAATCAAACAGCACAGTAAAGCAAAACCAATTCAATCCTGGATTACTTTCAACATTCAATTGAAAATTGCTCTATTGCAGTAAACAGACACCTTTAGATGCTAAGACGAGAATGACTACTAGTTCTCAATATTAAGTAGTGCTCGTGCGTGTACCAGCGTCATTGTGGCGGGAAAACGTGATTATCATCGTCCTTCCACTACGAGTTTTAGATTTAGTTTTAATCGCGTTATTAGGTAGTGACGTTACGCCGTTGACCTTGTCTCGTCAATACCCTTCCCAACCTCGTTCCCAGGATCTTTCTTCTTCCAGTCCTCACCTTGGGAACGAGGCACTGCCCTTCCTTTCGAATCCATGGGCGAAATAAAAGAACTCACATTACCCTTGAAATAAGTAGGGGAAGTACACTACGGTCATTTGGCAACTGACTTTTCTGGGGTTGTGTGGGGAAGAGACTGCCAAGGGTCCACAGTGATTACGGGCACAAGTTAATGCCATGTTACTGCTAAGTCTGGCGAAGCGAAGAAAACTAGAATGAAGTAAAACTTGGTGTGGGTTTTAAGACGTGCGCTGTACCTTTTTCTTCTTTATCCTCTGAAACAGGTCTGCAGAAAAATGAAAGATAGGCGTTAATGAAGTATGGCTTTAACTTCGAAAACTTGAAAAGAAAACAAAGTCCATCATCGGATACAAACTCAATACTGAATCCGATCTTTTACAAACTTTAAAATGTAATATTAATTTCACTCTAGACTACAGCACAAAAATTAATACAAGATGATTAGAGAAAAGTTACAATGAGAAAACATCGAACTAAGAAGTGTCAGTCTCTATGGCAAAGTTTAAGGTTGTGCTTTACGCTATTTGCATACTTTTTTGCTCGAAAAGAGAGTAAAAAAAATCAACGACATTTTGTCCCTGATTTTTTTCCTCCTCGCCCTATTAAACGTTCATGTGCAACTGCGCATGAGGCCCGATCTGTGTTCGATGTTGAGTAGAGTTACGCTGTGAGACTGTTTGGGGCAGCAAATTTGAGCCAGTTTTCCCGCGTAACCTTGTTATGGCCGATAGGTGGAGTGATAGCGTCCTTGAAAACGGTCGCATAGTGTAATTAGAGCCAGTCTCACAAACTCACGCACAACGTCAAAATGGGTGTCTAATACCCCTCTCGGAGCCAACCCAAGGGTTATAGTGCGTTACAAATCAAACCAATCTTTAGAATAAACGCGTCGGGAACTGTTACTCGTATCAAAAATCAGCCCTTTTCCTGGCGATCATTTATGTAACTGAAACTAAACGGCCTTGTCAAAACATTAAACAAAAGATACTCACTCGTTCTTCTTTCCCATTGAAACATTTGTTCTCCTTGGCTGTGTACCACCCTGAAAAAAGGAAACAAACAAAGCGCGGTTATACAGTAAACAGTCATCTCTGAAACATTGATCAGTAGCGACTATGAGAGAGTTAAAATACCTACCACCATTTTTCTTTTATTTTCCTTCCGTCTTTCTCGTCGTAGCCTCTGTTCATCATATTCTTGACACTCTAAAACGCAAAAAAAAGCATGCTTAGCAAGTTCGTCAACTGTACTGCAAGACAGCTCAGCGTTCATTCCGCCTGGATAAGATTAACTTCACAGCTCCTTGTCTCATGGCCGCAACTTGTCTCCCTTCGTTAACCGTGATCCAAAATTATAAGTAAGACGCTATGCTAGCCAAATTCTGGTTCGCTTTCAACAGGCTAACAGGCTAATGTATACAGATGTATACAGACGACAGCTGAGTAGAATTTACAGCACCCACGTAACAGCAAATATTGCATAAAACACAGCGACCAGTGTATAAGTCGAATACTTTGCTCAATGCCACAGCTTAGTATTGAAAAAAATATGATACCACTTCCAAATTCGCTAAGACGCATTGCAGTAGTCTATAAATACCTGAAAGTTTTGTAATCCCGTTTTTTCTGTATCTAATCAGGTCCTTTATTCTTGTTCTCAGCTCTTTTTCTCCTACGAATAAATGAACGACATTTTCAATGCATCTCGCACAAGGTACAACAACTGACGAAAAATACTGTTTGTGTTCCCTGCTGGAGAGGGGACCACCAACGCCTTTATTTAAAGGGGGTAAACACGTGACAGTTATGAAAAAACTGATATACTTGTAGCCCTCTAACGCTCACAAAGGTTTAGCCATTTGCAGGGCAGAGGCAGTATCTTTTTCCCAGCGCAACCATTTTAAGACCCTGGACCAAGTTTTTCAAAAGACAAATAGTGCAAATCTAGGATTAGTTACCATGGCAACTTGCACTTAACCCAGGATTACCGCTTACCTACGCTTCCAGCAACTTGGCCTGGAGTGTTGGTCTCGCCAAGCGAACGGAACCCGCGATCCTTTCCTCTGCAGACCACCGACAGAATGGTATTTTAGGCTGGAATCTTTACTTTCTTCAACAGTGGAGTCCTTTAGGTTCCAAGACGAGGACGACTACTCGGACGAGATCAGTTTTAATACGAAGTAGTGCGCGGCGTGAGCCAGCGTCATGTTGGCGGGAAAACGCGAAAGCCGTAGTCATTCTACTACGGGCTTTAACGAGAATTTCGTAGTGAGCGGCGGAAACAAGTTACCAAATGTTTAGAAGTTTTATCATTTGCGATTAGTAGAGGACTCAACCACCTTCAATTAAAAAACCCATGCAAACTTTTCTACAGAAGAAAAGGTAAAGTGAAGGTTTCCGGGGTGTCTCAGTACTTTCTGAGAATATGCGAAACAACTTTTAAACTCAAATTTCATCCTCGTAGTTGCCCTCGTCATTTAATAAAGGTCTTTAGAATTTACGGAATACCTTAATCAGTTTCTTAACATTTGCCAGTCATTTCTCCTGTGACATAAAAATTCTCTCAATGAAAATGTCTCACATGTCTCAATAAACCAAATAACTTACTTAAATGGCCATTTAAGAATTCCTCCCAATCGCCATGACTTTTCAATCTTGCAAACACTCTAGCAGCATCCCGAAACTCTCTGTAAACAACATAACACGTTTAGCTTCACGAAATCAGAGGATGTTGTTGGATATTGTGTGGTCTCGAGGGACACTATAATGCATTTACCGTGTTCATGCCAATGCTTGGGGAAGTAAATTGATTGACATTCGATTTTCTCATTTTCTAAAACAAGCACTCACAATGGCATAAACGACGTGACGTAACTATTTTACTCTACGTTCCCGCGCCCGCTGCGACGGCCATGAGAACGTCACTTAAAAAGTGAAGTCGCGCGCGCTGCTTGAAACTATATCGCGCTTATTCCATGTCGTTCAGTTTGTCAAATGTTGGCAAATGTTTCTGGAGTTGAATTCTAAAGAGTGCATCGAAGTTCAGGAAAAGAAACAGAAAGTCGTTGTCTTGTATTTTCGCCCTCCACAAAACGTGAAATTTGGCACTTCCACGTCGTAGTCGCGCAGTGACGGCAAAGAAAAAAAACACGTGATGCATATATTACACCTAGCGCTTTTTTGAGCCCGCAGCGAAGGTTTCTAAATATGGTACTTAGAAAAATGAATATTCACAGGCATTGAGAGGGCGTCTAATAAATTAATTTCACAAATTATTTGTGAAATAGTAACTAACCTGTCTTCCTTGCTGTATTTTCTGCGAAGTGCTGCATAGGAACAAGTTAATAACAATAATTATTTTATATTTAGAAACAAATAAAAATCGGTAAATATTTCATAATTCTTAAATTTCCAAAAGCAATAATAATAACTCCAGGAAAAAAAAACTGACCTATTATCCGATGTTTACTGGCAATAAGTCCATGCTGTCTTGCAATGCTACAAAATGAACACAAAGAATACCTCAGTTATCCTACAGTATTCTCTGTAGTTACCGAAATAGAGTGTACCAATTCTTCAGCAACTTCGGGAGATTCAATGAGATTGCAGTGGGCAGCTGAGTAAGGTATAAAAGGTGACTGTGACCTAAAATTTGGGGCTGTATTTGATTTTATTAAGTCTGGGGGTGGGGGAGAGAGAACCAGCCCATCCTGCTCTGCCGCCTTCCACCCCGAAGATAGTTAAATCTATTGGTTAAAAAATGCAATTCTAATCATTCCTAGCCCTAGATAATAGCAGACATTTCACGATGCCACCACTGGTTTCCCCACAAAGCGATGTCTGAGAGACAAGCGGAGAAATTCGATCCATGCTCATGACGAGTCATTACCCAGATCTGGATAGTGCTTCTGATTGGTTGAAGCAAATTTCCTCTGCGGCACGACCAATCAGAAGCAGTACCCAGATCTGGGTAATGATATGTCATCAGCATTGAATTTCTGCGCTTGTTTCTCAGACGCCATTTAACTGGAAAACCAGTGGTGGCATCACAAACTGTTGGCTGTCTTGTTAGGCTAAGCATCCCAAGCATGAAATTGAGTAAAATGCTAAAAACTCCATCACATAGAAACTTACTTTTTCCTATGCTGTCTTTCTTTAAGTCTTCGTAAGTACATATCTATAATTCCTAGTTTCAAGTCTATAAAACAAAAAAATAAATAAAGATGGGATGTTAAGTACAGTAAATGTAATTAAAAAGATAAATCCTGAAACTTCATCACTATGAGAACAAAATCTCTAACTCCTAACCTGTTTCTACATCCTCATCATCATAACTGAACTGCAACCCGCTGACAAGAGTTTCAGCATCATTGTCATATTCCTACAAAAAACACATCCTGGATTATTTCACGATTCAGATATCTACCACCTTTCGAAATACATAAATAAATTAATAATATTAAAAATAACATATTTTTTTACTTTAGAAATGTAGATATATCGGTCAGCCCCAAATGTCCACATCAACAAGGCAAAGTAACTGTAGTGCAGTACAGTACATTTATGTGCGACAGTTGCTCATAAGTGAATAGAGAAGCTGACATTCCAAGCGCTAGCCCTTCATCATGTCAGCTTCTTCTTCAAGTTATTTCATAAGTAGGTGGAGCATGATCACCTGGGTGGATGTAATCCTGAATACGACTTTTGTTGACAGTGACTTCCCTTTTGAAAACAAACCTGTGTGGTAGTTATCTTCGGAGTCATAGTAAGTTGTATAATAATTAAACCAAATCTTTGTATTTCGTTCCCCTACCAATGCAACTGACACAGTTTCTTTAGAAATATAAACCCAATTCATAGCTTTCTAGTCCCATAAGTGACCAGATTTAACAATCAAATTAGAACTCCTCATAAAAGACCACTTACTAAGTAATCACCAAATTTTGGGAACTTGGTTGATTACAGGAGGTTAACCCATTTGCTCCGGGAGATTTTGCTGAAAAACGCGTTTTGAAGCTAGTCAAGTGGTTTTCTGGTCACTGTCGTGCTATAAAGGGCTAAAACTTACCACAAACCGGTTTACAGGTCGTACACTTGGTGGCCTTCTGATCCAGATGCAAGACATCAGCTTGCGAAGTTCAGGCATGCGCAGCAAGCAAAATTTCGAGATAGTTTTTGGGTTTAAAAGTGACACAGCAGTCTTGACTTTTACTTTTTGCTTTTTCTCCTCCCTTCTTTTTTCGCTTTTCTTGCCTCATTTTTTTTTTCTCTTGCTGGGCATTTAGTAGGCTTCATTTTGGTGGGAAGAGTTTTTAGGAAAGCTTTTAGGATCTTAGGATTAGGTGAAAGGAAAGGTAGGCAGGCAATGGAACAAGATTTTCATGGAGATTTTCAGGTCAATGTCACGTGGTTTTTTGCTTCTTTCTCCGGTGTCCTTGACTGAATTGTGCTCATTCTGGTATGGTTTGAAAGATCTCTTCACTCTACACAAGTTAGCGAAGAAAGTTGTCCTTGACCGTTAAAACTGATGACGTCACAAAGGGTAGAAAGGACCTGGATCCGCACAGGCGGTTACGGGCGGTTCAGGGGCGAATGGGTTAAAGTTAATTCATTGGAACTAAATAATTAATAAAATTTATTTAGCTATTTATGTTGAGGTCAGTGAGTAATGACGTATCATAAGCAATTAAGTGGATTTGTATTTAATTACCTTTTCAAAGTCATCCCTTAATGGCATATATCCTAGCTCTTGCTGCTCTGTAACACTCATTTCAACAGGTTCAGGAGGGTGCAACAATGTTGGTGATAGTACTTCTACAGAACACAATCATGACTAAACTTTATTTACCTTTTCAGGGAACCTTTATTAATTTACCAGAGCCATATGCTGCTTAATTATTTCAAGAGCTGACCAATTCCAAAAAGTTAAATACCCAGTCATTGTACATTAATAAGTAAAACATGTTAATCACTCATTCAGTTTTTTAAACAGCTGAACCCTCCAGAATTTAAAATTTTCATTGCAATAATCCTAGCAAGTAGTGCACCAGTTTCCCATTTGTCTCAAAACAAACTTTACAGTCAAGCCACGTCAAGCGTACCCTACAAGATTCCATAAATGAATTCCATCAATGAATCCATTGGTAATTTTAGATTTAAGATTAATCTCTGAATTCTTGCAGTACATAATGAGCAGTGAATTCTCATTCAAGTTAGTTATGAAATTCCTACCATCTCAGCTTTCTTGAATTTGATGTAAATGTCTTCAAAGCAATTTTGTCCTTTTAATGATTTTTTCCAAAAAAATCTGACCGTATAAGAGAAGTTATCATAAAAAATGCACTGCTCATTACATAAGCAGAAATGCCGCTGCAGCAACGACTAATGGGGTGCAATCTTGGGGGGTATGCTAGACCTGGTAAAGCTGTAACAGGACCCTCTAGGCGACCATAATATGGTCCCTTATATAATCTAGACAGTGATCTAAGATGGCATTCAATAACAGATTTCCTAGGTGAAGATTATCAACTTCTAGGAAAATGCGCCAATTTTAAACAAAAAGACGGAATTGGATGTTCATTGCAACCACAGATAGGTTTTCTGATAAATTCTATATGACAAATTTTCAGAGAACTGGTCTCCAAATTTGTAACAAAGGGCCTGAACTAGCTAATCATGATAGTACAAAAAATAAAAATATAAAATTCACAGAAATAGTAACTACAGCCCCAGGAGATGTGGATCTTACCTTGGTCAGCAGAGGTATGATCCACTATCTTGTTCTTAAATGGTTCAACAGTTGCTAAACGATAAGACAAAAAACATTTAATGAGGTCAAGATTAGGCGAAAAACAGAACAAGACATTCGCGATTTTTTCAAAACTTTCTGTTGTTATACAGCTGACTAGCTTAAGGTTTCACAAAAGAAATTTACTCTTTCAGTGTGGAAAAAGAATTAAATACCAACAATAATTTTCCATTTATTACGGTTTGTGCCAGATCAAGTCATACGTCATATCCCATATTTGCCAACTTAAGAGAGTAAGCTGTGGATCAAGTTGCTTGCCTAAACAAGAAAGGTTTTTGGGCAGTGTTGTCTTTTCCTGTCTTTATGAAATAACACTTACCTTGACCTACGACTCCCGAAATGAAGTTATCATTGTAATGTTCACTTGTTTCTGTTGAAAGACCAACACAAATTTCTTTAGTTGATGCTTAAAATGTATTTTTAAAAAAATGAGAATGCTATTAGAGAAATTCAGTGTCCTCATGAGCAATGTCAGTGCACAAATGTATGTTTTTATAAGACACACGACTGTTTTGCTTGAATAAAGTAAACTTTCATCAAATTCAAAATATTTTACAAGACAAAAGGTACTCAGGACAGGTTATGGCTTATTTCATTGAATTATCACCACATCCATGCACCTTCAGTTTACACTATCAGCTACATTCTCTTTCTTCTCTTTGCATGGCTGTGCATACAAGTACTTGATTTTATTGAATATTTTGCACTGATTTTTAAGGTTTTCTGGATATCCATTTCAGTTAAACAAATACTCTGTTTAATGTTCTTGTATATACAAGTATCATAAGGATTCAATTGAAAATATCAGAACAGATGTCAAAATCAGGATGTTTCCTATCCCAATCGCATATTAGTCAAGATTCAGGATTTTCAACCAAAATCATGAGAATTCAGACAGGATTCAAGAATCTCTTACCTTTTCCTGTTTTGGTTCCAATATGATCGGCAACATCATCCCTGAAATGACAGACAAATTATGTTCTACTTGTAATAAAAGTATAAAATGTAGAGTAAGAGATTTCCATCCCCTTAATACAAGAATTGCACACCCTAATTTTATTAGCAGGCCATAAATACTAATGAAAGCACAAAAAACTCTCACGTCCACTTACTATTCAAGCTTGAATAGGCTTTTTGCACCAGTTGATCACATGATCAACTTAAGGTAAACACTAAAACAGTTCCCTTTTGAAACATGTTGTTTTTTATAGGGCTGCACAAGCTGAAAGAGCATATTAAAATTACGTAACCTGTAAATTTTCAGCTGTATTATTAGTAAATTAGATGATGGTGAATCACTCTGAGGGTTTAAAACAAAGGTTCAACAAACCAGTTTCCAAAGCCGTGTTGCTCTATAGCATCTAAAAGTAAAACCTCTTCTTCAGCTGACCATTCTTCATGAAACAGAGGAAATGTACCTCCATCCTTGAGAACAAAAAAACAAAGAACATGTATAAAATTCTCAGTTTTGGAACTTGACATTAACTTCTGAGTTCCAAAAACCCTCATCTTCAAAATGAGGCTAAGTGCAAAATTAAACCTGTCTTGTGATAATGAGTTTCATTTGTATGACTCTGAATAAAACTCATTTTATATCAATGGCTTCACACTTAGCCTCGCTTTGAAACAAAGGCTGTGGCAACTCAGAAATACAAGTAGTTGTACATAGCCCGTTAAGTCAACTTTCTCCTTGTGGACATCTTGTGACCCAACATTAGAGTTTTATCACACTTATTCTGTTTATTATGGAACTCAATTGGTATCTTTGATATTAAGACACAGTGGATCTATTTTCTTCCATTTTCTGGCATTGCCTTTTCAGAACATTATACGTTATTACTGGGAAACTGCCCACCTACCTCTCCCCTAAGCCAACATTTTACCCTAAGTGAGAAGTTAAGTGTTAATGTTGGCTTAGGGAGGGGTAGGTCGGCAGTTTCCCAGAAATGTATAATGATCCGCCTTTTCCTTTTGTGTTAGATTTACGCTTTTTGCTGTTTTTGTGTTACAATAAAATTCTCTGTTCTCTTTGTAAAAATTCACAAACCCCCTCCCAGGGTAGAACAAACACTTGATTAAAAATCCAGGTCTTAATCACAGTGTCTGCTGTGATCCATGAGACCCTTAGCAGTTAAGAGACCATTGATTAGGCTAGTGGTCTTTCCTCTGCAGAGGTTTGTTAGGGGTGTCATTGGCTTGTGGGGGGGAGGGGAGGTTACACCCTAGTAGTAGGCTAATGGAGATGTGCTGCTGGATGAGAGCGCATTTTTGCGACTGGGTTGACTGTCAAGAGGTTGTATTTAACAATAGAGTTACTAGAATGGGGTCGCACATTTTGTAGATATTGGGGGTCAGAAAATTCATATAGGTAGGGATTTAAAAATGGGAAGATTTTAACTATATTAGGTTTAACAAATCTGTCAATTCATTTCAGGATGACTTAGTTAAAACGCTTTATCAGGTAGATGCATTTTAAATAGAAAGTGACTAAGTTGGGATCCCAAAAATTACTTTTTCCTAAAGCTGATTACATGTAAGATTGGGTCTAATTGGCTATATAATATTTATTGGTTAGAGGTTCTGAGAGGCCACCGGCACAAACCCAGCAATAATTAACCCACGTAGCCCCATGGAGTTCTTGGATTTCCACTGCACAAAGTGAGTCCAGTTGAAAAAAGAGTTTAGATCTGCCCTCAAAAATGACTGTGTGTATGTACTTGCTTTGGGAGGGTAGGATCGGGAGAAGAACTCTTGTAAAATATTAAAGCTTAACTGACACATCAGTGCTGTCAACTGTCCTGGATAATCCGGGAGACTCCAGAGTTTGGACCGTATCTCCAGATCTCAAGATTAGAAATCTCCCGGATAATCACCAAAGTTTGCCATTTCTTGTAGACTTGACTATACGACCATAAAATTTTGAATATTTTGCGTTTAGAGTTTGAGCTATATTTAACATGGAAATGGCATGTTTTCTCATAAACTCTAGAATGTCATTGAATTCAAACAATAATGTGGCTTGATATGAACTGTTTTATGGGGTATATACATCAATCGGAGTCAACAACTATTTCTTTACACAAATGACGTCATGTGCCGCGCGATATGACATCATCTATCATCCCTTACGTATTTGAACTAGACGAGGAGGGTTACAGCCCTGTGATCCATGTTTGAAGGAAAAACATCTCTTCAAAAAAAAGGTTATTTAATAAAATGGCATTTTTCATAAGATGCTAATCCTTTTCCTGTATTAAACATCAAACTAACCTAGATGGGAGAACGACATGATATCTACGATCACGTGACCTACCATCAATTGATAATCATGGCCTCTTTTGTGTTTACCCATTTCTGCACCACAAGCGAAACACTAAAACAAGATCCCAGTACAACCAGTTACAATAGGCTTCAAATCAATACAAAATAAGCAAAAATTACTTAATAAAAATAATCTGATCTTACTTGAAGACACAAATCAAAATCAGTGCATTCTGCACATTTCACTCGAAGTGACGTGCAGTCCGCTTGGCAGTAATTACAGTGGTACTCTTCAACGCCTTAAAGAGAAAACAAAAATGAAAATTTTATCAACATAGAACGAAAAAAAAGTTTTTGGCTCGTCATCAACCATCGCAATGTGATTTTTTTGCCATTACCTGCGCCCGCCATTTTGATCCTGAACAAACAGAAGAATGAGCTATCCCAGAAGGCCTTGCGAGCTTTCGATCTCTGTCCGCTGAAGACCTTCGCAAATCGGAAAAGCCAATCGGTAAGGAATTTCAGGTCTTACAGGGAATTTTCTACTTTCTTTTACAAAAGAGGTGAAATCAGACTTGATTTTATCTTACATGTTAGATTTTGCTTGTGTGATTTTCAAATATTTTGCCTCGGTTTTCAGTTTTTGACGTAGATTCATTAATGGCAAAGGTCGGGGCGCAACTTGTTTAACCTCCGGCTGTTCCGTACTCTTGACCGCTGTCATGACTTAATTCATCTTGTTCCATAAGAACTGAAACAAGGAACAATTCCAATATCTAGCCATCCCGACCTAACGCTCGGTCAATATCGCATATGCACAGGTCATAGCGGGCGCATTGATTTAGAGATTCGTAGAGAGTGATCATTTTACTTTATATCTCAATGTCCGTTCCCGGGAGTGGATGGGAAGGGGCTACTAAACAAAGTTTTATACGGGGAGGCTCGGTCCCGAGCTCCGACCTCTTTAGCCTTTTATATAACACTTTTTGGCGGAAAAGGCACATCTTTCATGTACCTTCCTATTGGAAAATAGGCTGTCATAGGCAGTAGCCACCCCCCGTTCTTTGTACTTCCACCACATGTAGCCAAAGCCTATAATATGAGTGTCGCCACTGTTGTGTAACCTTCACGATATAGTTTGTCTGGCCTGTACACACGGTATGCATGTGCGTACCTGAACAAGTCGTGCACAAAAATATATAAAAATAAGAAAAAAGTGGTAATGATTAAATAATAAAAAATAACAAGTTAATTCTAAAAAGCAAGCAAAGTATCTAAAGATAAGTTATTGTAAGAGCACAGTTTGCCTCAATTCATTCAACTCCGGTTGTTTCTTTTAAATAATTTTTTCTAAATCAAAAGACAGGCTTTTTTAATCCTCTCCACTCAAATGTCGGTTTCCAGAGAAACAAAGTATTATTCATTAATGGACCAAATCTTTAAAAACATATGATGGCAGGTGTTTTTACTAAAAACGTGTTCAGAATCCTAACTGTTTACGTACGTGGGTTAATTCTGGGAGCAACAACGAAGGCAATGGTGATGGTGATGGCAATGAGCCCGATAAGTAAAATGAAAAACAACATATTGGGTACGATTCCCAAGACTCTGTAGGAAAGTTCACCTATATTTGCCATTTTAAGAGAGTTGATGGAAATAAATGGGGAAAAGTTAAAAAAAAAAACATGCATTCATTTTCGTAGCTAGGGACATTTTCCTTGAATTGCTGTGGCATCCTATATTCATGAAGGTGACAGTTCCATTTTTGTTTTACCGCAAACTCATACGATGAAATGCGGAGAATTATCCACATAAGTTGGACAAATAGTTTATACTACAAAACATTGCGAATTTACAAGGCATCGGATTCACTTTAGATTTCAGATTAAAAATCTATAGAGACTTGACCAAATTGGCACCTTTTCAATTTGGATTCACGCACTGCATCTGCTTAAAAACAACAAAATGAACTCAGTAACTAAATTATCTGGATTGCTGACTAATCCGGAAAAGTATTTAGCCTTGTTGTATGACAGATGATTGACAAGCATCAGTCAATTGCCCCAAACATGCAACAAAGTATTTTATAAGTTGCTAATGTCATTTCATATGGCTGTTTCCTCAGGCTAGATTTTCTCATGTTTTTAGGTACATGTTTATGTATATAGTTTGCTGCACATGAGTTTATACCAGCAATACTTTATTATAGGCCACATGATTGACTACTGCAGAATAAATATATTTATTAATTATAATTATTTTTATTAGTAGTATTAAATATTATTAATAATTATTGTCATTGTTATTGTTATTGTTACTATTTTTGCTATTATCATTATATTATTAAATAAAAGAGGGTGGTCAGAAGCAAAGCATTGAATAAAGAAGGTACTGACATGGAACACTTATTTTATTTAGTTATCAGATACCCTAAAGTACCTTCAAAATGGCAACAATGTTTGACTACCTCAGCATGCATGACAAGAACATGTCCACTCTACGTGTGGGATCACCCAGTGCTGATCTACGTCTCAGGTGTGGTGACCTCATGCAAAAAGCAGCAATGGGGGTTCATAGGAAAGAAAATTATGCAAACATGTTCCAGTATGGCCCCCATGGTGGTTCATCAGCTTTCAAAACTGAACTCGCAAAGTTTCTCAGTCAGGAGTATAATACTAGAGTGGACAGTGAGGATATTTGGGTCAATGCTGGTGCAACGCAAGGTTTACAATGTATTGGAAACCTCCTGTTTCAGCCTGGTGATGTAGTATTTGTGGAAGAACCCACATATCATATTGCTCAATTAGTCCTAAAGAATGATCTTAGCATGAATGTGGTTGGTGTTCCGAGTGATCAAGATGGAATGATAGTTGATGAGTTTGAAAAGCTGTTGTCACAGTATAGTCATCAGATGAGACCAGCAAAAGAAAGAAAACCTTTCTCTGGTTTCCTCTACTGCATTCCAACTTTCAACAACCCTACTGGTTCCATTCTGCCAGAAGAACGGTGTAAAAAGCTTGTTCAACTGTTGCGTAAATACAACCTGCTTGCTTTGTGTGATGATGTGTACAACTTGTTGTCCTATTCTCTTGATGAGCCTCCACGAAGGCTCTTTTCGTTTGACGACAAATCTGATCCAGATTACAAGGGTAATGTTATCTCCAATGGGTCATTTTCGAAACTGCTGGGCCCTGGCTTGCGTCTGGGTTGGATGGAAGCTCCTGAAAAAGTGCGAAAGATTTTACAGTCAAGCGGCTATGCCAGGAGTGGAGGGTGTGTTAATCACTACACCTCCTGCATTGTTGCAATGGCATTACAAATGGGTCTTATGAAGGAGCATTTGACCTTCATACGAAAGGCTTATTATAACCGATTAAACATTTTATGTAGTGCTCTTGAAAAGTACCTTCCTTGCCCCTATACGTATAAGAAACCACTTGGAGGCTTTTTTGTTTGGGTAGTTCTTCCTTCTGAGGTTGACTGTGATAAGTTGTATGACATCTGTTTTGAAAAGTACAATGTTGACTTCAACAAAGGCTCTGCTTTTTCTTCCTCAGGTCAGTTTAAGAATTGCATGCGACTCACCTTTGCATTTCATGATTGTCCTGTGATTGATCACTGTGTAAAGCAAATAGCTTCAGCAATAAAAGAAATATTAAGCTGATAAACACTTCCTTACTTACTGGTATTTACAAAGTAGCACATAAAAAAAAAAACAAGACAAACACTGAAAGAAACAGCAAAAAATAAGCCATCAAGATTTACCACAAAGGCTCAATTCAAGATTTGAGATAAGTTCAAAAGTTTCTGACAGTACTGATGATTATCTTGTGCTATTGGCTAACCTTTATAAGACTGTCCAAGTTGTGAGATTTATTTGACCCTAGTACTTATTTAAGGAGGGTTTTTCTAACATTGAATCTTAAACCAAAAGTGACTTCTGATCTCAGCTTAAGTTTCTTATATCAGTGCTTGTGTAAGAGTCTCGAGCTTCTCCCGTAAAATGAAGTTAGAACATGTTTTTTTTTACCTTTTTCTACTACATTTCTTCACAAGATTTCCCTTGTGTTCCTCATTTTAACTTGGGACATTTTGGAAGGAGAATTAAGCAATTTATCAGAAGTTACAGTGGATTATTTTCCAGGAAAAGAAAAGA